GTGATTGATTTATGCTGGAAAGCTGTGGTTGTGTAAGGGTTACATGCGTTAGCTTCAAATGCATAGAAGATCAGAAATGCGGAAAGCCAGCTGAAAATATGACAGCTTCTTATATAATCAATTGAAATAATTTTTAAAAAATGAATATGTCTCTGGAGTCTGAATTGTAGCATGATTATAAATGATTATTTTACAAATAATATTAATTTCAGAATTCTGAAGACAACATTTTTTTCAATAATTTAATTTAAGAAGTAAGGACAGGACATACATATAGGGACGTTATAAAGTGTATGTGTGGCGCGGATAGAGGCAAAAAATATTTGAGATAATATTTTCAATGCAATTCATCGATATAATACAGGTAAAGTTACAATTATCTGTGTGTCAAAACTACATTTTTTTTAAAATGCTGATTCTAATGAGCTTACGGGGGCTTTGTCCTTGACCGCTAGGGACCACGAAGATTACCCAAGGCCCTCGCAATCTAATGGCGCCCCCTCTAATCCAAAATCCTGGATCCGCGCCTGAATGTTGTGTATTAAATTCAATGAAATTGAATCTGACATTGGTCTCATTTTACTTGAAAAATACAAATGGTAACATCAAATAGGATGCAGTTTTCATTATGACGTCCATTCTTTATTTACGCAATATGCACATTACACATAAATTCATTGTTAAGTCATAAACCATCAACGTTATTTCACAGTAAGGTCATACACTTGTAAGTGGTCGATGTGTTCATCACACATTCAATTGTTTACGCAATATGCACATTAGTTTTCCATAAATTCATTGTTAAGTCATAAACTATCAACGTTATTTCACAGTGAGGTCATAAAAGGTCGACGTGTCCATCACACACTCCATTCATACCTTAACGTTTAAAAAATAAATCGTTTCATGTGTTTAAAGCTTTAGTACACAAATATTTGTAATTAATATTTGTTATAAATCGGTAAAAAAAAAAAGTAATGGAATTTGATCATATGACCAACCCGAATGTGCAACCCAATAAAAGATTAGGAAATGATATTTTATCCTTAACTGCTTGTAGTAAATATGTAGGAAAGTTTGAAGAATACCAGCGTTACCATCCACTTGACCTATGATTTATTTTACGAGAGTACTCCGAAACGTTTATGTAAATCAATTAAGTTTTTCATTGCCTTTTTAGAGGTCTCTCTTTGATTGTTAGCTAGGATATATATTACATGTTTATGACCTCATGACACCTGACTTCAAATTGTAAAATTATACGAGTGCATTAACCACACAAATGAATGCTGTAAGTAGGATGACAATAACTCGGGATCGTTATACTGACCTAGTTATCAGAAGAGATTATACTACCATGTATGTATATTACATGTTTTGACTTCTTGACACTTTACTTTTAAACTGTATTCTATCGCAGTCCCAATATCTATGGATGTTTTTTTTTTTTTTTGCATGATCTATAAAGTTAATCTGTTAAGGAGATGGGTGAACAAGGCGTGGAGAATGCCTATAGCTTCAGACATGTAAAAATCATATTCAGTTTGTGAATTAAGTATTTAGAGTAAAGTTCTCATTATATCAATTTATGAAAGAACTATGCACGCAAACTCTCAATTCCCGCCTACATTTTACACCGATTTAATTCAACACCAATGGCAATTTGGCCGCAAATTCTTTGTTGAATGCAAAGGACAGTTCAATGGTAATTGACTGATAATTTCAATGCCAGTGTTAAATAGTTAATTACCCCTAATTGCAGCTCTTTAAATAAGGGGGGGGGGGGGTTAGACGATATTTTCCATTGAAATCGGGCTTTCAAGCATCAACACATTTTTAAAATATTCTTGGATATGAATAAATGGTCCTTATATCTTTTCTTATGTTTTACGCATATAAAATTGAACATATATTATTAATCAAATACAATGTTTTAATTGTAAAACCCTTTGAAATTGGTGAAAAAATAAGCATTTTTGTAGTTTTTTGTCTGTAAATATATGCCCCCCTATTGTGGCCCAACGCTACCCCTGAGGATCATGAGTTGTACAGTTTAGAATCTTCACTACCTCAAGAAGCTTTCAGATAAGTTTAATTTTTTCTGGTCCAGTGGTTCAAGAGAAGATTTGTAAAGATTTTTCTTATATACTTCAAGGTATTTTCTTTCTTTTTTGTAACCCCACCCTAGCCACGGGGATCATGATCAGAATCTACTCTTAAATTGCTGATTGAGGCGTATTTTTTTTTTTTATTATTTCTGGTCAATATATTTAATTGTACAATAAAACTTTCTATAAATTAAACAGAACTCAATATATAAAATTTATCTGTTCATTTTTACGCACATAGTAACAGCTTACGGCATTAGCACAGGCTTGGAAGCTATTGCGAATCTAATTAAACATTGAAAACTGGCTAAATTTTCATGTACCTATGCGAAGATTTTGATTCCATATGTAATTTGTACATGTTTTATTCCTAAAAGCTTCAAATTCCGATGGTTATTGATACACGAAGAGAGCATTGAAAAGTTTCCAATCCACATTTTACAAGCAGCTAAATTTAAAGGAAACATCAAGCAAACATTTCGATTTCAAAAAAAGTCCTCTGTCACTTTATAAAAGATGGAAATTATGTTGAACGACTTGAAATTCGAAATAATTCATAACATTTAGAATATTATCTAAGAAGGAACTTAATTCCGGAAAAATATGTGTTCTTTGTGAAGTGGATTGAAACAAGACCTTTGAAATAACAGAAAAGCAACTTGATTATAAAGATGTTGTACGCGAAGATTTTAAGCGCGCTTTCTTATGGTAAAAAAGTTTGCTAAAATAATAAAAACGAAATTTTAAACGTGAATAAATGACGACTTTCCCTTTTAGAGCCCCATCTTTTGTTTTTTACACCTGTCACTTTGATTAATTAGCCTTCGTTATCTATTCCTGTGTTATACAACATTTCCTCATTATCCTCTTGTCAGTCACGATGAATCGCCACGTTTGATCAAATATGACTTGACTATTGCTAAACTAACCAATTTCTAGGGAAACCAGCTGTTGATTTTTCGCTCAATATTGAGCTAAAAGGAAGGGGATGGCGGGTATGTGGGGACATTTTTAGTACTGAGAACGAACAGGCATTTTGGTATTTATAGATTTCTCAGTTTTTTTTTTTAATTATGGAGGACGAAGAAATTTCATAGACCACCTCCGCTTATTTAGAATTTAGGTCTTCATGGAAAAGAAATTACAATTGAATTGTTTGTATATGTATAACCAACATCAGAATTGTGAATTGTTTAAACTATTACCGATTATATCTTGAAGCTTTTAGGAAATTCGTTCTCTTTTTTTATAGACCTATTTTCCGGATTATTATGTGTATAGTGATATCTTATGGCATTTAAAAAAAAATATGAAATTATTTTTACTGGTTTCGAGTTGAAATGCTTAATAGAAAGAAATATCTTACAGTTATTTTGATTATCAATTTATTATTAATTTTCAAGAAAGTTGACTCCTTATAAGTCACACAACTCCGTAAAGAAACGATGTATTTTTATTTTATTTAAAACTAAGTGAAATGTAGTAGAACATTTACATGTTAACATTTACATAAGAAATCTTCGTGTTTTCCTTATCTGCAGCATTTTCTTAAAACAAGTAAAGACTCTGCTTTTGACTGTCTTCAAGAGGAGTTTTTATTAACTTGTCCCATAATATGTCAAAAAGGTAACAAAATTCGATACCTTTCATAGTTCAGTGTTAAGTTTTGTCTGACGGTCCAGGGGATCAATTTGAAAGCCTAGTTTAAAGTAATGCCACGTATAGACCTTTTTGGACTTCAATACTTTCGGTGTCTTCCCTTTGAGAGTGTTCCATTCTGCTGTTGTGACTAGGTTTGCTTTAGCAAATGCCATGGTAATGACACGGGCCATTATCTGGATTGAGTATTCTTAAAAATCGACTTTTTTCCTTATCGGTTCTCAGAAGTTGTTAGGCATTGAATAACGCGACTCCCTATGTATATAAAAAAAATAGTTATAAAACGTACATTATACACTAATATTTTACATACGTCGCCATGTCGCTCCGTCTCAAGTCCCTTATAACATTGTCTACAACAAGAAAATTGAAGACATTGTTGACATTTCAAATTACTTTTCACATTGTTTTCAAAACAAATGGGACATTGTTCTGCGGTTTTGAGTCTTGTTAAATCTGTCCAGTTTGGAATTCATTAATAATGTTCATTTAAACATCCGAGTTCCTTGGACTTTCCAGCGCGTCGATTTTTTTTCCATACTCAGCCCCACTAAATTGCAAGTTGGGTTAATCGTATGGGTTAGACCACAGACACTAAAATAATCTACACACATTTCCTCCCGGTCTCCACAAGATTTGTGCTAGGATTCACACTTAAGAATATAAAATAAATTCATGGTTAAGAAAAACATCTCAAGTCAAATTCACAAATATTCTAAGTGCGGTTTTTAACCAAGTTTATAGATCTGATCTCAAAAATCCTTGTAAAATATGGAAAAATATCATTTAAAGTGACCGTTGGGTTATATTAATAACAATGATCTGTGAAATATCCCTCGTCTTCTTCATAAAAAAATAAAAAGTATAAGATATATTTCTTATAAAGAAAAATTTCCTAACTCAAATTAACATAAATTCTAAGTGCAGTTTTAAAGCAAGTTTATACATCTGTTCTCTTAAAAATCCTCGTAAAATTTTAGAATGACTGTTATTTATTGTTGTAGTGGGTTTTTTTTAATAACAAAAACACAATCTTCGATTAAATAACGTTTAATTGTAAAGAAGGCATCTTTTTAAAAAAAAAATGTGCTGGTCGTTAAAATGATTGATGGGTATCATTGATGGCTTAATAACCATCATCCGTAAAATACCCCTCGTCTTCTTTTTCAAAATGAAATTCAAAGACCGCTTCTCCGTTAACCCATCTCATCCACCCGCGTGGATGGACATAACCCTCTCTTTCAGTCTCCGCATCCCAGTCTTCTGTTTCAGAAATATCGTTGATTTCAAGAGCTTGTCTGCTGGCCATCTTCTCCGTTTCAGACCAGAGTCTGAAGTTCATAAAAATTAATAAGATAATAATAATAAGAGGAGGTTTCTTCATGTCTCTTTAAAGTTCCTTCAGTATCAGCCATATGTAATAAACTTATAAAAAGTGGAAACTGCCTGGACCTCAAGCTACAATACAAAAGAAAAATATTTGAAAATATATGTTTTCGAAGATATATCTTGAGAGATTCTTAAGATAGTAAGATTGTAATCTCTTTTTTTAATATAAAATACATCAAATTTTAATGCCTTTAAATGTAGACATCATTTAATAATGTGAATAATTCACCACCTCAGTTCTTACCTCCTTCAGATTCTCCCTCCTCACAGTGCTTGTCTCCATCCTCGCTGATTCAGTGGTCTTAATACCCAATTTCTGACCACTAACAGAATTCATAATTAGATATTATACATGTACAATTAATTGCATCTGCCAGTATCAATATCCCCATTTCATTTTGCCAACTGTCTCACCAAACTTACTGGATCACCTCTATATAAATAATTTTTAACAGAAATGCTTGTATTTTTGTTAAGAGTTGACAGCAGACAGCATCTGTCATGAGACTTTATACTTGCACACTTTTCCATATTTAAATACCCAGTGGGTTTGAGCCTTGCAATGTAGAATATGTCAGCGCATGTCATGTTGCTCTCATCTATGTAGACTACTCGCACATCTGTGCATCGTAAATCAGTAGTAGTGCGGAGTAGGGAGGTGACTCTTACGCCGCGGTTCCCAATCCACTGCGGGACGTGGAGACCGGTCCTTCGGATCGTAGGTATTGTCACGAAAAAGATCCCTCACTTCTCAATGGCCATGAGAGCCGAGTATAGTTATAAATATGCACCCTTCAACCGGCAATTGTTTACGTCTCCATTGAGTACAAAATTTTCGATAGGAACATCAAAGAACAAACAAACAAAAAAAACAGTTTGTCACACTATTCTTTAAAGGGGATATATCTGTTTGAGGACTTGATGATGTCTTCGACCTTCTTCTATTTTAGAGAGATAATTTTTTAAATGAAATTTGTCATTCTTTTTAAAAAGCCTAAATGTTTGAAAAATTACTATTAATGTATCACCTTCTCTAACACACTCGGACCATTTTTGAATCGAGAGCTCGTCAGTTTCTTTCCCGGTACAGCATTTATAGTGGTTCATAGCTTCACTCCTACGGAATTTATGGCTATGATTATTTTGCCATGAGATAACTGTTTGAGCCACTGTGCTTGTTTTAGTGCACTTGATTAAATGATAAGGCAGCCTCCTTCTCGGAATAACGTGATTTATCATATGGACAAATTACAAACTCGTAGATCTCTTGGTATGGTGACATATTGTAAAGTTATAAAAAAAAAAGCGAAAGGTTTGGAGGATATATCATTTATATATAGCACTACACCACAATTAATACATAATTTAAAAGTCTATTCTCTAACCATTTCTAAACTTAAATGTAATTGCTTGAAGATCTAATGAATTCACATTAAGATAACCACAAGGAAATATCAAATGATATTCACTCAAGCTTTTCTACAACCAAGAAAAAAAATTAGTAATTGCTTAAAGAGTAGAAAGTGGGGCAGTCTAAAGGCAGTATGAAAACAGTGACGTCATAGGTCACACCGAAGGTAGTAGGAGGGCAGTGGCGTCATAGGTCACACCGAGCGCAGAATGAGGACAGCAAGGGCATAGTTAATTCTGGAAACCCACCAAAATAGGTGACGAATCAAAGTCATGTTGAGGGCAGTATCGCCATGGAGTTTTTCCGAACACCCACCCAAAAAGGTGACGAATGAATAATAAATATCTCGACAAGAAGACTTGCAACTATTCACACACCCTTGATGTAAGATAAGTTTCATGTACAATTTTAAGTCGAAATTTTCTAGTATATCTGCACATTGTACCAGTAAGTAATATATTGTTATACAAAACTTACTTGATATTACCAGATTTTTATGCGCCCGGATCGATAGATCGGGGGCGCTTATGCGCCCGGATCGATAGATCGGGGGCGCATATTGTTTTTGTCCTGTCTGTCTGTTTGTCTGTCTGTTGTCAACTTTAACCTTCGCCATAACTTTTAAACCATGAGAGATAGAGACTTCATATTTGGTATGCATACTCCACTAATTAAGCTCTTTCAAATGACACTAAGGTCAATGACCTTGTGACCTTGACTGTGACCTATATGCTAAAAATAGCTTTTTCGAACTTTGTTGCTGCCGGGTGCTTAGTGTTTCACAAACACATCTTGTTCTGTAATGATTTCAACAATAACACTTTTTGAAAAAAAAATAATCAAAATGTCAATTACTATATACACCTTTTTTAAAGAAAAATAAACATTAATGAATAACGTTAGCACACATCAATTTGAGCTAGCGTAACCAGAAAATTTGATTATATTATGGAAGTTAATAACAAATCCACGTACACGAACACAGTCTCTAAGTGCACATGTTATAGTTATTTCAGTTGTTCAAATAATCTTGCATATAATTCAGATGCGTTGATGTCTGCAAGAGACCAACTCTACTTGAGTAGACCAATTCTGATAGCGCACCCAATTCCTTTTAGAGGTTATTTAGTGCCTTCAGATGTCAACTGAGCACGTCGTAAGGACGCTGGGGTATACATGAATGACGCCTGCGCAGGTGAGTTAAGGCTAGGTATTGGAACTTCTATGTAAATAATCTAATTAAAATGCCTAAGGACTATATCTATTATACAGAGAAAGTTAAAACTTATTGTCTTATACATACTTGGTACCCACGACATGAGATAGCCAGTACACATTATGACGTCATATTATGACGTCATTGCTCTTTACTACACAAGATTATATTGGATATCAACAAAAATGCTTCGGCGCAAGGGCATGCTCTATTTTATTTAACTGAAACAAGGTATATTTAGAAGCAAAATATTCCAAAGTTTACCGCTATTGCTACACAAATTTCAACAGCTCAGTTGTATAATTTCTGTTTGTAAAGTTTAAGTTGATTAAGGGTAAAATGTACAGTCCGGTATAATTTTCCTCAAACTCCAATCAAATGAGAAAGTGCCTAGGATTTGTGCAGCAGTTTTATTAATCTATAGAATATTCTTCTCAGCATTATACAATTTTTATGTAAAAATAAATAGGATAATCCCTTGCGCCGAAGCTGTTTTGTTGATGTGTTTCATTACCTCCAGTAGGTAGGATCAGTGACGTCATAATATGACGTCATAATGTGTACTGACTATAACATGTCGCTGGTACTAAGTATGCATAAGAAAATAAATCAACACTTTCTCTGGATGATAAATATACCTCTTATGCATTTTTAGTAGCTCATTTGCATAGATACGCCTATACCTATCCTTAACTCACATGCGTGAAGTGGAGTTACGGTATGCCCGGCCACATGTCTGGTGAACCTTGTGACGCTGGGCTGTACTCTGGTGTCACTTGGCTATACCTGGGTATCGCTTGGCAATATCTGGGTTTTGATGAGCAAGATCTCTGATGAAAAAAGGCTATGAAAATCTATCTATTTCAGTGAATATTCAATAGGATATAACTCGTGATGAAAATATTGTTAGCAGTTGATAAGAATCAGGAAAATCTTGTTTCCTTTTCCATTATAGCCATTCGATTGAAGCTTTACTATACTGAGCTCGATGATATCTTCATTATGAAACCTGTGCACGGGGACTACCGAGAAATTGCTCCTCCTCGACAAAGTAATCCTCGTCTTGTAATGTCTGCGTGTTGACCCCCAACCCCCTTCATGGAATGTTTACGCGAACTTCACCACCCCATCGCCTGGCTTCTGCCATACCCTTTTTTTGCTGGTGTCTATGTTAAATTTTTAAGTCCTTATGCAGAAATTTAGACTTAAAAATCGCAATGCAAATGCTGGCAATGGTTATATGTTTTAAGGGATCTACGTTACCTTTAAGATAATATTCAATATTCCCATCGTCATTCAGTTCAAACTCACCGGTGCCTGTAATTTCCATTAGAGTATCTCTAAACGCTAAACAGGCTTGATGAAGTATATCAAACTCACTTTGACCATATTCTATAATCTCTTTGGCAAAAAAAACAAACGATACCAGGCTACAAATGTGCATAGGAGTCGAGAATTTGGCCACTTCATTGATTCGCGACATGTATCTACATTAGTTTTCATCCCAAATAGATGATTTGCGGTATTATATTGTTCTCGACTAGATACTCCAATAAAAGCTACCCGTCATATTCATTTCATGTTATGAGCTAGCGCGGTATAATTTTGATGCTTTTTCGGAAAAAAAAACACTGACCGAAGTTATGTTTATTTTCTCCTTTAAACACGGCTTCGCGAAAACCGCAGGTCTCTTCGCAGAGTTCACCATTGAAGCAATCGTTTTCGTGATCGAAATGATCACATTCAGGACATCGCGTTCCGCAGAATTGACACTAAGGGTCGATTTGTTCATCTATATACATCTCGCAAACTTTGTGATCGATAACTCTAGTAAGTAGAATTATCTTTCTTTTCTCGGCAACGAAGAGAGAAAAACTTGCCGATAGACACATGCACGGTACTGATATTTAAATAAAAACTGTCATTCCTAGGGCTTAATGACTGGTCAGAAAGTGGTTAATATGATCCAGAATGACTTGTGGTGTCACATTCCCGATTTTCCGCAAAGGTACAAAAATAGGTGATATCAAAGGTGTATGATGACACGAATAATGTCACTTTCGGACCCTGGATTTTTCTAGATTCTCGTAACATGAGACCAAACATTTGTGAAAGTTTATCTTGTACATCTATAACTCATCTTGTTCCCGGACAAGGTTCACATTTAATATACAATGAAGTCCCCGCATTGTATAAACAGGATAAAAGACAAGATCTAATTACTAATAATAACCATCGAAGACAACAGCCATTTAAAAGTATAAGGGTATGCGTTTTTATAACAGATATACATGTTATTAAAAATTTAGTTCTATGCATTTTTCATTAAGACCCTCTTGCAAAATGTTTTATTTTTGAGATAAAACTTTTATTTCTTTAGTAATATCCTCATTTTTGTATTTCGTTGAATACTTCTCTTTGATTAAATTTCTCTTGACAATCGGTCTTGCTCTTTCTGCATATTAAACAGAATCAAGTTGTCAGGACCTACATCTACATCAAGTATTCCATCATCATCAGTCTGTGAAAAATATGGACTGAAAGTGAAGAAGTCATAATAATAAATTAAAATTTTAAATGAATGTATAAATTAAAGAGGGAGAATTCTAAATTTAAAATACCTCTGAGAAGGAGGTTATTTCAGGTGAAGTAGATCTAGAGGAAACAGATGAAGGATATATATACATAGAATTCAATAAAACAAAATTGA